TTCAGCGTCTGTCGCAGCCGCAGCCGCAGTGCCTCCTTCAGCGTCTGTCGCAGCCGCAGCCGCAGTGCCTCCTTCAGCGTCTGTCGCAGCCGCAGCCGCAGTGCCTCCTTCAGCGTCTGTCGCAGCCGCAGCCGCAGTGCCTCCTTCAGCGTCTGTCGCAGCCGCAGCCGCAGTGCCTCCTTCAGCGTCTGTCGCAGCCGCAGCCGCAGTGCCTCCTTCAGCGTCTGTCGCAGCCGCAGCCGCAGTGCCTCCTTCAGCGTCTGTCGCAGCCGCAGCCGCAGTGCCTCCATCAGCGTCTGTCGCAGCCGCAGCCGCAGTGCCTCCTTCAGCATCTACTGAGGATCTAGGGATGAACTTGGGACATGGCAAGGGAGATGAAGATGAGTTTGAGTGGGAGGATGATCTAACCCAATTTGATCAATTTTATGGCTTACAATTGATTGGTGATGGTCTAGAGACGTTCCCCTTCTCCTGTGACCTTCCTCCATCTCTTGCCCTCATGGCTATTGATGCCCTTGAGTTGGGGGGCTCTGATGATCTCCCTTTGGACACAATTTCGCCTGACCTTAGCCACCTGACGAATATAGAATGTGAGAAGGCGACGGCCCTGTTACATAAATACCTCCATCTCTTTGATGGAGGTGAAGAAACAGTAGGACACATCCCTGATATACAGCATCGAATCGATACAGATAATGCGTCACCTGTGTGTACGAGGCAATGGAGATTACCCCATACAACTCGCCAGATAATACGGGACCAATGTGAAGTTATGTTGAGGGCAGGAGTGATTGAACCTTCCTCTTCACCTTGGTTAAGTCCCGTAGTCCTCGTGAAAAAGAAAAATGGCGGCCTGCGTTTCTATGTAGATTACAGGAACCTCAATGCAGTAACTAAGGCAGATGCATACCCACTGCCTCGAATCGACGAACTGCTGGACGAGCTTGGACCTTCCTGCATCTTCACCACTCTAGATGCTAGAGCTGCCTACTGGAGCATCGACATACATCCAGAGGATAAGCAAAAGACCGCATTTAGTGACGGGTATCGCCTGTTTCACTTTAAAAGGCTCCCATTTGGTCTTAGCACTGCTCCTTCCACCTTTCAGAGAGCAGTCAACCTAATCCTAGCACCTGTCCTTGGGCGCCATACTCTAGCGTACCTGGACGACATAATTGTACACTCCAAAGACTTCGGCCAGCATCTGAAGGACCTTGGGGAAACTCTAGATTTACTGCTGGCAGCAGGATTCAAATTGAACCCCGAGAAGTGTGCAATTGCGGCTACAACAATAAACTTTCTAGGCTTCACGGTGTCTCCCGATGGTATTGCTCCTGACAGAAGCAAGGTATCAGCAATTGCCGAGACCCCAGCACCCAAGAACATTAAAGAAGTCCGCCGATTTCTAGGGGCTACTAACTTCTTCCGCAGACACATTCCAAGGTATGCCACCATTGCAGCACCCCTCCATATCCTATTAAAGAAAGGTCAAGTTTGGGAATGGGGTGAAGAGCAGCAGTCTGCATTTCATAAGCTGAAAACCTTGCTGGTATCTGAGCCGATCCTCCAACAACCCGACTTCACGAAAGAATTCGAGCTGCACACGGATGCCAGCTCTCTCGCTATTGGGGCTGCCCTCATGCAACTAGGTGACCAGGGTATTTTACATGCTGTTGCTTTTTACAGTCGGAAGCTGCGGGGTGCCGAAACACGATACCCAGCAATCGATTGTGAGGCCTTAGCTGTTGTTGAGGGTGTGCGTGTTTTTGATGCTTACCTCTACGGCCATAGGTTTGTAGTCTACACCGATCACCGCCCACTGATCCATGTGTTCCGACACCGGACCAGGTCGCCCCGTATGACGAGATACGCACATGACCTCTCTTTCTATGATTTTGACATCAGATATAGGGAAGGGCCAATCAATTATGTTCCTGACTTACTATCCCGGCAAGTTGCAACAGTCGACGTTCATAACGTCAGCCCACAGGAGCTAGCCACTCAGCAGAGCCAGGACCCAAAATTCAAAGAGATTCTGCATTATCTTAAGTCTGGAACGGTGCCCAAGCGCAAGCTCCCTTCTGCCCTTTCCGACTTTGAACTTAAAGATGATATCCTGTACCGCTTACTGCATCTCCCTGATAAAACTGTCTTCCAGCTGTGTGTACCAGAGCGTCTTCGTAAATCAGCCCTGAGAACTGCTCACACTCCACCATTAGCTATGCATCCTGGCATACAAAGGACTTATGGTAACCTCCGTAACATGTATTATTGGCCTAATATGATGGCAGGATGTACGAAGGTATGTAGAGGAGTGTCAGTCATGCCAGCAGAACAGAGGGGTAGCACAGAGGGTGCCGATGGCTGAAGCTCCTTTGGCTCTTTACCCCTTAGAGAGAGTATCCATGGACATACTCGACCTCAGCCAGGCTCCTGTACGTTATGCTCTCTCCATCATTGATCAGCACACTAGGTTTCTTCAAATTGTGCCACTGAAGGTTATCACTGCCACGAAGATCCACCAAGCCTTCCTTGAACACTGGATAACCTACTTTGGACCACCACGTGTAATTCAGAGCGATAACGGTAGGCAGTTTACTTCAGGCTTGTTTGAGGAACTTGTTACTCTCCTGCGGTCCACTCACCACTTTACCATTAGATACCATCCTCAAGCTAATGGTCTGATCGAACGGACCAATAGGGTTGTCAAGGCTTCTCTCCGCTCAATAGTTGGGGAGCACCCTGGCCGATGGCATACTTACATTCCAGAGCTGCGTTTAGCTCTCAACTCTGCCATTCATCGTTCGACAGGTGAGCAGCCATTATTTCTCATGACAGGACGACATGCCTACTTTCCGGTAGGCCTCACAAATGAGGCCGTGTTCGCCGATAATGACGACTTGCAGCATCGTTTAAAGACTGCCCGACAAGCGGCGGTGGAAGCCTCAAAGGAAGCCAGAGCTACTTATGGTAGAGGCTATGACAAGCGGGCCAGAGGATCTTTCGCTCCAGAGGAAGGCGATTTAGTGTTATACAAGGAGATGGTACCGAGGCCGCTTGGAGTGAGATGGAGGGGACCAGCAAGGATATGTAAACGTCTAGGTCCTGTCTCTTTCCAAATCCAAGACTTGGCCCTTGATAAAGTATTAAAGGCCCATGCTAATCATTTGCGACCGTATCGGCAGTCGCAGGAACTTGCTTTTCCTGAAGATGAGCCGGGGGTTCCAGAGGACGAACCTGAGCAACCGGCAGAGGATGATCCTTGGGTGGCGGTCCTGACCAGCTGTGTGTTAGACCCTGAACTTATGATGTAGACATTTGTGTACTTTGTGGAACTTTACTGTCTTCACTGATTTTATGAATTCAGGGTGCCCTGTGTTTTCAATTCCTGTAATTTGTTCGCGTGATGTTCGGCACTAAGTAACACCTTTTAATTGCTCATGTGTTTAAGTGTTCTATTACCATGTCTGCTATTTCATTTTACTCTTGTCCTTACTTTTACTGTTTTATTCTTGTTCTTACTCTTTTATTGTTTTACCCTTGCTCTTACTCTTTTATGGTTTTACCCTTGCTCTTACTCTTTTATGGTTTTACCCTTGCTCTTACTCTTTTATGGTTTTACCCTTGCTCTTACTCTTTTATGGTTTTACCCTTGCTCTTACTCTTTTATGGTTTTACCCTTGCTCTTACTCTTTTATTGTTTTACCCTTGCTCTTACTCTTTTATTGTTTTACTCTTGTTCTTACTCTTTTATTGTTTTACTCTTGTTCTTACTCTTTTACTGTTTTACTCTTGCTTTTACTCTTTTACTGTTTTACTCTTGCTTTTACTCTTTTATTGTTTTACTCTTGCTCTTACTCTTTTATTGTTTTGATTGTATTGCTTTTACTTTTTGCCTTTCGCATTTGCTTTTTCCCTTTTAGTGGGGGGGGGGAAACGACACGCACTGGCACAGAATCATCATCCCGGTTTTTATATTGAAATGATCATTGTATTTCTCAAAGACCAGAGGGTGGGGCGCCCCGGGCGGGATGATGAGTTGGCTCCGACAGGGCGCTGGTATCCTGGTGGTATGTATACGTGCGCTTTTTCTCAGTCCAGTCTTATCTGTACTGTCGGAGCTCAAGCTTGGTTTTTCTCCTTTTCAGGTCTCCGCTGGCTGCTTCGACCCGGATCGGGGGGACGGATTCTGTAGCGTGACACTGCACTCACCCCCCTACCCCCATCTCCTCTTAGATGATGCTCGCTCCGTATATGTATACGCCCCATTGCGTGCACAGCATGTGCCTGTATATATGTGTGTGTGTGTGTGTGTGTGTGTGTGTGTGTGTGTGTGTAAGGATGAGTATATATATGAGTATGTGTATATGTATAAGTATATATACGTGTTTTGGTGCGTGAGTGCGTGTGGTTGCGCTTGTTGACCGTCTGTTATATGTTGGTATGTGTTTTATGTTTTATGTCTGTTTTATGTATTACATTTATTATTTATTTTATTATTTTACTGCCATGTATTGTTCTCTTGCTTATTTTTGTTTTAATTGTTGATTATTTTAACTTTTATATTTTACACGTCACGAGCGTGACGTCACGGCCTCCCGCGGACCTTTTGTAGCGACAGAAAAATACACTCGTTGTTCTACTGCACCACGGGGCGTTTCTTTTCCTCCATCCTCTGGCATTTTGATATAATTATAAAAGGTGATACTACGTGGCCGACAGATCCAGCAAAGGAACCTGGAAAGACGAAAAGCTAAGTATTGAGCCTAAGTGACAGTATCGTTAAAGATAAGAGCTGGACTGTGCAAGATTGCACCTATACATGCACCACATATCAAATGCAGCCTCGTGGCTCTTCTACTAGATTTCCTTTCTTTTATGCCCTCTCCTGCATATTTCCCATTCATTTTACCCTCTTCCTGTATCTTGTACTATTCTTATGCTAGCCTACCCTTTCTCTTCTCCCTGGACTTTTATACAGTATTTTATCTAGGTTCAAGATGCTCCACTTCAAATATGGCTCAGTTAACAGATTTCCCACTGTGACATCCCACAAGGTCATATTCCCACTTAGACATCAAGCAGGCAGCAGTAGTGGGGGGATTTGACGTCAGGGGGTGGGCTTACCCTACAGATGCCCACTGACCTTCATGGGGAGGGATCTTGGCCCTTAAGGTACCCTCCTTGGTAGGTGGGGCCCCCTGGGGACTACACATCTCCGTACACTACACCTCTTTGTGTACGCTTGCAGATGGACGGCCATTATTTACGCAGAAAACGTCAAGAGTCTGGCATTCTCGTCAACACACAAATATTAAAAAATCAGTCTGAAATTTCAAACGCTTGAAAAAAAGTATAAGAATACAATTACTTTAAGAACATTACGATCATTTAAGCTTTAAGATAATTCAATGCTAATTATATATTTGACATAGAGTACAATTTTTTTCTTGCCTATAGATACTCGCAATATTCTAAACAAATACGTGGTTGCAGATAGTGCAATATCTTTTGACCAGATTTTTAGGCCTGTAACCGTAAAACCAATTTTTCAGATGTTTCAGTCATACGATTTACTGTAATTGCTTTAGCCTCTACATTACTGATAATATAATAATATTCTAACACTATGCATTGTGCGATCTCTGCCTAAAGAGTAGAATCTATTGCTATGATTCCATGGTACTTTCCTTCCTTATGATGATGGTGGAATAGAGTAAGAAATGGTGAAAATAATGACAAGGTAGAGGTAGGCAATGATACTGATAAAATTGTAATATTTCTTGCACGCTCTTTCGTGTATTCTCAACTACTTTATTCGTGTTCCTTCCTCTCTACCCAAGCTTGTGTTTGCCTTGGAGTAAAGATGTAAGTCACAAAATCAAACGACAATTCTCTCTCTCTCTCTCTCTCTCTCTCTCTCTCTCTCTCTCCCTCCCTCCCTCCCTCCCTCCCTCTCTCTCTCTCTTTGTCTCTCTCTCTCTCTCTCTCTCTCTCTCTCTCTCTCTCTCTCTCTCTCTCTCTCTCTCTCTCTCTCTCTCTCTCTCTCTCTCTCTCTCTCTCTCTCTCCCCCCCCCCCCCCCCTCTCTCTCTCTCTCTCTCTCTCTCTCTCTCTCTCTCTCTCTCTCTCTCTCTCTCTCTCTCTCTCTCTCTCTCTCTCCCCCTCCCTCTCTCTCTCTCTTTCTATATACACACACACACACACACACACGTATATATATGTACACACACACACACACACACACACACACACACACACACACACACACACACACACACACATATATATATATATATATATATATATATATATATATATATATATACATATATATATAAATGTATGCATGCATGTGTACACACACACACACACACACGCACACGTGTGTATATGTATATGTGAGTTTGTGTATTCACGTATATAGATAGATATATAAATAGATAGATAGATAGATAGACAGATATAGATATAGATGTTTTTTTCTTCTTTTTCTATCTCCCTGATGATATAATGGAAATAAATAACAGCGTCCGAATGGGAACTGCGGTGATAACGACACACTTATCCGATAATGACCTTTCATGACGTAACGAGTACAGGTCTGCAGTGCCATCAGGTGCCCTCCTCCCTCCCACACCCACGGGTCGTGAGTGTGGGTCCCTCCACGGGTCCCCTCCACTCTTCTCAGGGGCCCTCCTCCCTCTCCTTCCCCCCCGCAAACACGACTCTCTCCTCCCCTCCCCTCCCCCTCCTCCCATCCCTTGACACTTCCCCCTCTCCAATAAACACGACTCCGTCATCCCCTCCTCCCTTCTCCTCCCTCCCCCATACCCACAGCTCCTCCCTCCTCTCCCCTTCTCTCAGGGAATCCATCCCTTCTTCCCCTCGCGCCCCAAACATCCTTCCCCCTCCCCAGAGTCCCTGTCTCCTCCCCTGGGCCCACCAGAGTCCTCCCCTCCTCCCCCGGGCCCCCCAGAGTCCCTTCCTCCTCCCCCGGGCCCCACAGTGTCCCTCCCTCCTCCCCCGGGCCCCCCAGAGTCCCTCCCTCCTCCCCCGGGGCCCCATAGTGTCCCTCCCTCATCCCCCGGGCCCCCGTGAGTCCCTCCCTCCTCCCCCGGGCCCCACAGTATCCCTCCCTCCTCCCCCGGGACCCCCAGAGTCCCTCCCTCCTCCCCCGGGTCCCACAGTGTCCCTCCCTCCTCCCCCGGGCCCCACAGTATCCCTCCCTCCTCCCCCGGGACCCCCAGAGTCCCTCCCTCCTCCCCCGGGTCCCACAGTGTCCCTCCCTCCTCCCACTGGCCCCACAGTGCCCCCCCTCCACCCCCGGGCCCCACAGTGTCCCTCCCTCCTCCCCCGGGCCCCACAGTGCCCCCCCTCCACCCCCGGGCCCCACAGCTCTCTCCCTGTCATCATCGTATCGCTGTGGTTGATGTTATATACACTTGCAATGACAAGGTTGTTCTCGGCTCAAAAATGTACTCCCGTTCTATCAAACACTTAAAAATTGTATTGCTTTATAATACGCTTAATGGAGGGTCAAATGGCGTTCTAAAACCATGATTTAGTCGTTTTCAATGAACAGTTTAAGTGAAGTAGGTTCGCGAAACGACAACGAACGATAATGCTGGTAAATTGGCAATCATTTTTTTCGGCCTGAAATTGACGCAGAAGAGATATCTAAACGTATTAGCAGTTTGCGCGCGTGTGCCTCTACGCTTCTTGTTTACTGACGGGGTTTATCAGGGCACTACTGGGAGAGAAACAATGTGCGAAAGAAATAGATTGAAATGAAATGAGGAGGAAAAGAGGGGAAATAAAAAGAAAAAGAAAATTAAAGTACTGGAACTAAACGCATGGTTCTAAAAAATAAAGTGTGAATTAAACGAATAATATAGATTTAATGACCTTATTGTGATTCTTATCATTATGTTATTTCGGCAGTTAGGATGTGGTGCTTTGTATCAATATGGAATGTAATACTAAATTCAACAAATGATGCTATATCTTTTCTATATATGTATATATATATATATATATATATATATATATATATATATATATATATATATATATATATATATATATATATATATATATATATATATATATATATATATTTCTGTTATGCATCGGATTATATGAAGTGAAGAATAAAATGTATAAATAGGAGGGCGAAGAGAATGAGAGACGGAAGAAGCAGTACAAGAAGAAAGAAGAGGAGGAGGAAGAATAGCGAGCAGAGAAAAGGAAAAGGGAAAACAAAATATAGATAAGATGACTAACGAGAGAAGGGGAAAAGAGAGAAAAATAGAACCAGGTAGAAAAAGCAACGAAAAAAAAGAAAAAGGTAGGAGAGGGAGAAGGAGAAATAGAAGAATGCGAGAAAAAAGAGAAAGGGAAAGGGAAAAAGTGAAATTGAAAATGAAAGACCAGAAGAGAAGGGAATAAGAAAAACAAACAGAATAATTATCTATGGGAAAATAGAATAAGCAGGAGAGAAAGTAGGAGAGTAAGACAGAAATTTGTATTATGAAAAAAAGGGAATATATTTTTTTTTCACCCATTCTTCTGTTTCTTCTTTTTCATCATCTTTACTCTTCATTGCTTTTTCCCCTTCGTTGCACGAGAAAAAAGAAAAAAAAAAGAAAACTAAGACTAGAAAAGAAGAAGAAAATTTGCGAGCAAGAAGACAATAAGAAATGAAGCAATCCAGATACGCGGGAGAAAAGGAGAAAAATAGATGACTGCATCAGTAAGGACGAGGAAGTGCCGAGCCTCCCGACGACGGCCGGCCGTCCTGCCCTCCGCCTAATGATTTCCTCCGCAATCGCTGCCGCCTCTTCTTCCCTCCCTCGCCGCCCTGATTCCGCGCAGGTGGCCGCTGATCCTCCGCCAAGGCCCGGCCATTTCCCGGCCTATAGACTCGCTCGACGCTACGCTTCACTCCGAGCTCGACTGAGTGCCTCGCCCTTTGACAAGCCGACCATACAAGGCGTCCAAAGAGCCGCTGTTGCGCGTGACGGAGACACTTTGAGGCCGAGGACGAGGCGCTCGGGACAAGCGTCGGCCGGCTGGAGGGCGGACGCCCAGCCACAGCTCAGACGTAGCTGTGCACGCACACGCACACGCACACACACACATCCACGCACACGTACACGCACACGCACACGCACACACACATATATTATATAAATACATATTTGTGTATATGTATCTATATACGTATATGCACACAAGCAGATACACACACACACACACACACACACACACACACACACACACACACACACACACACACACACACACACACACACACACACACACACACACTTATGTATGTGAGAACGAGAGCGGCCAAACTTATGGTCAGAACGAAAGGAGACAAGTATAACCATTGACGATAATAATGATAATGATAGAAACGAAAAGATCCTTCCCTCCCCCTTCAAAAAAAAAAAAAAACGAAAAAAAACGAAAAAGAGAAAAAAATCGTTCCTCAGACAAAGCTCCTTCGTTCAGCTCCTTTGACGACCTCCTTCGGTATCGAGGCCTTGTTAGTCGGGCGCCGCCTAATGGTAATGTTCGCGTGACTGAAGTTTCTCTTTTGTGGCGCGGCTGTGAACTCGCCGACAATCAGTTTTATCTCGCGAGGCCTTTTTTCAGGCGAAGGGGAGGCGATTTTGGCATTGCAGTGGGGGTTTGTGTAATCCATTTATTTAAGCATCTATATGTTTACAAACACACTTGAAGTTTTAATACAATAACGCATATATATATATATATATATTATATATATATATATATATATATATATATATATATATATATATATATATTATATACATATGTACATATATATATGTATATATACATTACACACACACACATATATATACACATATACATACATATATATATATACATACACACATTTATACATACATGCATACACACATTTATACATACATGCATACACACACACACACACACACACACACACACACACACACACACACACACACACACACACACACACACACGTATATATATCAGTATATATGTATGTGTATGTATAAATGTATATATATGTACACATACATACGTAAATAAATTAATAAATTTTATACCAAAATATTGGCATGGTGGAAAAGTGGAAAATATAGGTTTCCAGACTACAGTGCCTTCCTACTCAGGAAAGAAAAGAACTGGCAGCTCACCCGGCGCCATGGCTAAACCTCTTTTTTATTCTAATCATGTGGCACCTGAGTCATATGCATACATTTTGATTTTCAAAGAGTTCAGCTCTGTATTGCCATTGATTTGATTGGAATTTATTGATTCCATCTCTTTATTTGATCTTTCAAGAGACTTTGCGAGTCAGAGTACACCGAAGTGCAGGGTGAGTTGCCACTTCTGGCTTGAGAGACGGCGCATCGAAAAAAGTAGAGAATGTGTGAATGATCATAGAATGATTTAAATTTGATTTAAATGAGGCATAGCGATAAATTGTTAACGAGAACCGAGAAAATAAACCGATCAGCAGATTCGTAAATATATAAACAGAACCAAAATAATGAGAAATGGGGAGTGGGCGTAGGTGGTAAGGTCTAGAAAGGGAAAAAAATAATAAGGGAATAAGTAATAATAGCCTTGAATCGGATGTTTAGTGTTAAAGAGGCCGTTATCATGGCACCAAAGGTTTGCCTTTATTGCCCCCCCCCCCTCCCACTTACCATAAGAGGCCAATGCCTCACACAGTAAATAGCTCATTTTCCCTTCTGAAAATTGACGTGGATATGGCGCTTTCTTGGCCGGAAAGGTCGGCTGTAAAGAATGTCTACCTATTTACATATGTATTATATCTGGCTATGTACCTCTTCCTCTCATTTGTCTTCCTCTCAGGTGAGTACTTACTATTACACTAAGTGGTAATTCAAGGAAAATAGAGATAAAAACAGATTGTGGGTGAGAGAAATAAACTAGAACAGAATTATAGTTATAAGCAGCCATATTTCTTTTCCTTAGTGCGGCGAAGCTCAGGGCACTGACTTGTAATCTGCCATTTAACAATTAATGCCCTGATGTACCTCACCTGCTGGAGGATCAGCCTCACGTACACTCCAGCTCGCTCTCTCTCTCTCTGTATATATATATATATATATATATATATATATATATATATATATATATATATATATATATACTGCCGCGACTCGGACCCTCATTGTCCCGAGTTCAATTCCCCGCCGCGGTAGTTGTGAAAAATGCCTTCGCCTCGACTGTTGGCTCGAGCCGATCTCATGACGAGAAAATGACATAGTGGCACAAGTGATAGCGCGCAGAACCTCGGTTGATTAGGAAGGGCGTCCAATCAGGTAAGGGCGGCACTGCCAACTAACCTCTAATAGAGGGGCCTATGTCCTGCAGTGGAATAAATGGCTATTGAAAAATATATATGCGTGTGTGTGTGCGTTTGCGCGCGGGCGTGTCTGTGTGTGGGAGCAAGTGTGCTTGTCTGTTTGTATATGTGTGTGAGTGCGAGTGTGTGTGTGTGTGTGTATGTGTGTGTACGTGTGTATGTGTGTGTATATAGATATGTATATATACATGCACACACACACACACACACACACACACACACACACACACACACACACACACACACACACACACACACACACACACACATACACACACACACACACATACACACACACACACACACACACACACGTATATATTTCGATGGCCACCCAGGACAGGACTCCCGTATAGGTGGAATCAGTGTCTGGCATAGACCGATACGGTTTGACTATGGAAATCCAACCCTATACAAAACAATTCACCGCCTTGTGGTATCTATAAGATGAAAAAGGCTTCTCGAGTCAAACATGAGGAAAAATCCTGAAGTCCCGAAAACAGTTCGTTGTCGCTTCGACCTCGTTCTTGCAACTCCTGCGACATCGCTGGTGCCATACCGTATCGGTCTTTGGATTCATTAACTGCGTGGAGAGAAGGAGCATGCTGCATGTGCAACAGCTTTTTCCTCACATACTTCCGCCCAGGCATTGCCTCTACCTGTACGGGAGTGTTGTCTTGGATGTGACGTTAAACTGCATCTACAAAATGCGCACAAATGACCGTTACTACTCACTCTGTGCCATAAAACCGAGCGGGCCCTTCGAGAATTGAGGGTTTCAGGGACAACCAGCTATGGTTTAAATGGCGAAGCTGTTGGCAGCTGGACATTAGATTTCATAGCAGAAACTGCGGACAAAGATAGAATCTTGGGGTCTGTACTTTGTCATCACTTCAACTCCTGACCGCTCTCCATGAGACTGGCTAAGGATACAGCGAATGTAGAGCCACGGCGGTTTATTTTGAACCTTCCGTTTGATGGTTATGATACGGGAGTGGGTAGAGACAATAATGCCATAGTCGACATCAACTGATGGTGGCCTTTGATATACATGTCTATATATACGCACACACACACACACATACACATATGTATATAGATGTATATAAATGTATATATGTGTACACACACACACACACACACACACACACACACACACACACACACACACACACACACACACACACATATATATATATATATATATATACATATATATACATACACACATACACACATTTGTGTGTGTGTATATATTTATCTATAGACAGATAGATAGATATACATATCTATATCTATAACTCTCTCTCTCTCTCTCTCTCTCTCTCTCTCTCTCTCTCTCTCTCTCTATATATATATATATATATATATATATATATATATATATATATATATATATACGTACACACATGCAGAAAGACAGAAATACAGAAAGAACAAGAGAAAGAGAGAGAGAGCAGGAGAGAAAGGGCGACGGAGATATAAGCACATATCACACTCTACAATAGAGGAATATAATGTACATTCGCGCCGAACGCAGCCCCTAGACCCACCTGGTGTTTGCCATTTTAATACATCATCATACTGTACTTGTCATGAATATTAACCAGTCATGACAAAGCATAACTGACGCTTGCCTTATCACAGGGTTTGTTCATGTAGCATGTCTTAAACGTATGATTAGTCTACTCTTTCTTTACAAATTGCATTATAGAGGTTGCATATTACAGTGAGGCTTTCAGTCGAATAATGCCATTATGAATTTGATACTCTACAGTCCCTGACAATTCATATCTTCTAAACGTGGGATTTCAGCATTATAAAGGACTGTCTGCTTGTTGCATGTAAGTTTGGCTTGATAGATCTTGGCTGCCTCTATTCACCAGTCGGGTAGAACGATTCTTCTTCTTCTTCCTCTTTACTTACATTTCCTTACGCGTTGTATTGTCTTTGGTGTCTTTATTGTGATTGCATTCGTAAACCTAAAATTCACAAAACCATCACAACAATGAAAGAAGGGTTAAAACGGGATTGTTATATTCAGTGTCTCATTTAAGATGTCTTTATACTACAGACAAAATTGTAGGAAGGAAATTCTTATATGATATTCTTTCCTGAGAGGCCAGGGCACCGTCACTGAAAACGCCAAAGCGAGCAAACTGATGAAATTGCAATCATCAGATCACCGAAATGCTGTTATTGCGTGGAAAAGCGGTTTGTCCATCTTACAATTATATGATTTTGTGCTTGTGGATAAAGTAGATGGATTTTGATACGGTGCTTTATTATTGAAAAACAAACAAACAAATGGCATGAATGATATGAACTTTCCTCATAATAAGTTTTTGATTACATAGTGAGATAAGTAACAGAAAATATCATATTGCTCTTTCTCACTAGTCGCTCATTCAAAATGTAAACTTTCACAGGAATATGGCCTTTATAACGATTTTAGAATGTCATTTATAAGACCTTTTTAGCCTATTCCCCTTGGATATACAATACAATGTGCCTTTCTTCCACCAGATAGCTCTGATGTAACAGTGTGACTGACGCAAGCAAAGTGACATTCCAATGCCAGATATGCATTACCAAAAGACTCTGTGACTCTTAAAAAGCTTAAAACGGGAATTTTATGCTCAGTGAGTGTCTCATTCAAGATGGAACGCGACCTTCTGCAAAATGAAATGCTGTAAACATGCAAATTACTTCTTAGATCATTCACTCTCTCTTTTCGTATCTCTCTGTCTCTGGTGCTCACCTTCTCTTAAAACCTTTCGGTGTTTCTTAGTTTTGTATATTACTTTATTATCTAATGATCTTACATTTTATCTTTAGTTTCAATAGGCGTATTGCTGTACTTGTCCTGTCGTAAATATTGTTTTAAGATATGTCTCAGTCTTTCCTTGTTATCGATATTGCAGACTTGCTTTTCATGTGAAGCAAGACAAAAGAACAGTCCGAAAATGAAGATGTGATTTTGAAATATATTTTTTTTTCTTGCCTTACCTGTGTTCCGTTCATTTTTTTCCCAGCCACCCTCATTAAGTTTTAAGCACATATATTTTTGTTTCTGAAGTTGGCCTCATTTGGGCTCGTCTGTCTTATACTGTATCATCCCCTTTTTCATACTGATCATTGGGATAGAATGAATGTCCTGTGGAAAGCTGTTTTACCTCGAGAAATGGTGCATCACACACTCACTCACAAACATACACACGCGCGCGCGCACACACACACACGATTTTTTTTGTCTCAGAGTGATTAGAGAAG